CAAGAATTCCTCAAGACAGAAAGAGGTTACTGAAAAAAAGTGATCTTAATCAAGAGTACATCTTCTAAAGGAACTAGACTGGAGATCCCTGCATTGCTGAGACTGTGGGATCTGCCTGATCTGAAGAACGAAAACTGGAGTTGTCAGATGCTGGTTGACTGAAACAGTTGTTAGTTAAGGTTGAAAGGAAATATAAGCTCTGAAGGGATTTGGGTTGCCTTGTATTTAAGTCCATTTGTAACAGTAATTCTCTAAAAAAACCCAAAATTTGCCTCAGATAAATGCTATGGACCTACGTTGCTGCAGTAATATTCAAATAGCAGCTGTTTCAAAGCCTTGCTAACAAAGTAAATAAACAAATCCAGTTGTTCTTTTGTAATACTGCCTCCTGTTCCTCAGTTGCATTTACAAATAATTCATTATTCCTCGCAATAACAAACTTTCATTAATACAGTAATCAAAATGAAGACCGGGTCACATTACTTTAAAATCCACTGAGGGGGGATTTCCGTCACAACCCCCAAGATAAAAAGCTTGTCACACCTCTGTATTATCTTATATATGAACATTCAGTTATTTCTGATAATTCCTCACCACCCTAGTAGAATTGTAGCCAAGGCTGGTTAGTTTTGAGTGATCTTTCATCTCTTCACCAACTGTGATCTGGCTTCTACAGGAGGTTTTGTTTCAGGTGGCCAACCTAAGGATGTAGATTCACAGCTTATTACTTAGTTTCCTTCATCGTCATCAAGTTCTTTTGTTTTTTCCACTTGTTGGGAATACATAATTTTGTGATCAGCATCCATCAAAAGAGGCAGATTGTTCAGAGAAGGCTGATATCCCCAATCTCCCTGCTACTTGTCTTCACTTGCAGAAGTGATGAACACTGTGGAAATCCACCTTTGAAATCAGCCCCTTTTCTTCACCTTGTTCTCTAAATGTATAAGTTGGGCTGAGCTTTCACATCACCTACAACTTGTTCCTTACTAGAGATGCCAGGGATTGTACCTGGGACTTTCTGCATGCCATGCAGATGCTCTGCTTACTGACCATTCCCCCTCCCCTCCCCAGCACTTTCAACTAAAGGATTGTGGGTAGCAGGGTTAAGAAAAAACCATGCTTCAAACATTGGCAAGCCTCTGCCAGAAAGCGAATGGGGTTGGTCTGACTTGGTATAAAGTAGCCTCATGTATTCTTGTATTCAGAAATCATGTGTTGTTACGTAACTACTACTGTGAGACAATTTGGCTTCATGTAGAGTGCTTGCTAGGATAGCCCTTCTCTGTCAACATCTATGTGTTCTATAAGTCTGGCTGTAGATCATATCAATCTGTTTGACAGGAGCTGACAGCTCAGTGTGTCAGTAGAGCTGGCTCCAACTGGTTCTGTCTAGTTGATAGCAGAGCTAATTAACAGTGACTCAGCACTGGGTACTGATTTGACAATGCTAGTATAAATGTGATGCTGTACAATGTACTACCCTTCCTGATGGAAACCTGGTGTCTGCGTGAGCATTTTGTCATTCTGTGCAATATATTGGTGGAGGCTCGTGTAAATAAGTTGTATATAGTTTTACACCAAGCCTATAAGACTTACGTCTTCTTTGATACTCTCACACCACTCACAACCTGCAGTGGGCTAGCACCGCGCAAACCTCGACATTCTCATCAGGAGATAAGCTTCTTGATGCCTGATCTAGACAGTGAAGTAGACAAATGTTATAATGGTTCCCCTGCTTCCCTTTTTCTTTTTCTTGACTGAACAGTTCCTTTTCCTGTACTTCGTTTCTCTGTCTGTCTCACACAGTTGTTTAAATGTATATAGTTAAATCTTGACCCAGCATAGGGAACTGAGGAACCGACAAAAATCCTTTGTTTGTATGGGTCTGATAATGGCACACAAGAGACTGATGCTAATTCAAAACAAACTGCTTTATTTCACTTCTATGGGGAAATGGTCAGGTAGGTATCAGATTTAAACTCGACAAGTGAACAGGAATCAGAAATGAGGTAACTTAGTATAACTAAATACAACAGGTAGCTTGTTACAAAAATGTAGCTGTTTTGTCTTACAGACTGGAGAGAGAACTTTTGTCAGTCACTGCTTTAATAAACAGGCATAAGCTTCTTTGTGTCAGAATTACTTCAGTTTGTGAAGGCAGGAACACACACACAGGTTACAATTTTCTTTCTTTACCACTTGACTGGGATCACCCCTCTTTACTAGGAGCTATTTCCATCAGGGAAGGACTATTGATCCCACTTCCCTATTTCAGGATCCTCCTCAATCCTTTCACCCAGCTTAACTGAACTTCACTGTTTTAATTTCACTCTTAACTGATATTGTCAACTGTAGAATTCAATCTGAATCCCCTCTCACTCAAGGTTCTCAGACTGGGTTAAAACCTTAACCATTCACTGTCTTTTGCAAATATGAAGAGGGATGCTCTCAGTTTTCTGAAGCAGGAGTGAAGTAAAAATTCCTCCTTTTTCGTTTTGTCCCTACACTATTTTATGGGATGAAATACAATACAGGAAAAAAGTTGCCTTCTGATGAACTAGCTGAGAATACAAATATTTATTATGGTGTACGCATAAATAAAACATACATAAGGTTAAAAGAAATAGTCCAAATATCCGACTCTTAAAGCTTTTTACATTCAGAGCTGATAGTTATACATGTCCAATTGATGGGTAAAACTTTTGACCAATAGACCATATGCATTTCGCCCCCTTCGAGCCTTCCTCAGTGGTCAATATTCCTATTATACAATAACACACATCCAGAAATGAATGTATAAATTTTTTTCTATAGAGCCAGGTGTTGCTTTCTAAAATTGTCGAAAAAAAGAGAAAAAGGCCATATTATTATATATCAAATATATATACTAAATATACATAATAATAACTTTCAAAAATAATAGGAATTTTTTACTGGTGTTACCTCATATGCTTTGCAGTTGCTAAAAGTTTGTATAATGGGTCATGGATAGTAACTGCACAAATTCTCCAAATTATTCTACACAAAAATAGAAATTATATAAATGTTAGAG